TTACTAAGGCCCTCTCTTGACAACGTCATCAATTTGATGTTTTTTGATCAGCCAACAACAGTTTGAGGGGGATATAAATCAGGAGTAAATTAAATCGGGCAGAATTAAGAGTTTCTTTCTTTGCATTGTTGCGTTACATTCTTTATTTTAATTGCACAAATTCTTTCCTTTTAGCTGAGTATGTAGATTAGGAATATATATTATTAAGCTACATAAGATAGATTGTACATTTTATTGTGTACCTAAAATAGATTGTACAAACTATTATTTATTGGAATAAAAGCAAATGAAAAAGGCATTCAACCTATTTACTCAAAACTTTGACATCCCTAAAAATGAAATATAAGTGATTTGGGCAAGCTTAGTGATCACTTGATCGTTTTGGGTTTCAAATTAAATGTATCAATTTAATGTATATATTAAGTACCACGAATCCAACAATAACATGACTTTGTCCCACCAAAGAGGGTCCGTTACATGAATTCTTTTTCTCCATCGTGTTCTGTTGAGTGTCATTTTTTTTCATTTTACTCTAATAAATTAAGATTATTTTTTATACAGCATGCCCATATTTATTTGTCTTACCTGTGCTTTTCTTAACATAAGTCAAATCTAAAGCATCTACTCTTAACCCGGTCATCAGATGATTGATGTTTAATGCGACCGAATCATCTAAGGCGACTGTTTCTAATCTTATCTATCACTGGAGCTACTCCAACCTTTTCACAACTGTATTTGTTTTGCATTTTGTTTCTAAGTGTAATGCCAAAAATAAGTACAATGAATATGCTAGTTAAAATTAAATGTGCAATATTTGTTTAGTTCTTTATGTCTATCTTGGACTTGAATCAAGATGGTAAGTTGCCTGTCAACAATTATGAGGTTTAGCATCGTAAGATTCAAATGTCTATTGGAATAATATAATGTTTTGAAAGTATTTAAAGCCTTGCATCTTCATTTTTACAACAGGATATTCTGGCATATTTTCAAAATTTCTGTTTCGGAAACAACTAATTGCAACTGTTTTCAGGGATGCCGACAAGCTGCTTCTGCATTTGGATGCATATTAAGCTACTTTTTATTATTTTAAATGAATTGCCGCTAGATTTCAAATTGTTATGTTTGTGTGCGATGTTGATAGCTTATTTGTTGTCATGGTATATTTCATAGGAAGATACATACTACCCAATTCCTATGTATTTACACATCAACACCTAAACTATATGACATAAAAATTCCAAACATTTTAACTTTTAAAAAGTGAAATACACCTTTTTTTTTCACAGGTAATTTAGGATGATTTGATCCATAATAGTTCACAGATTCATCGGGTTATTGTACATAATGGAATTTCAGTGCTATATCTGGTAGCGATTGTTTATTTATTTCTTATGCAAGGGATTATATCTTAGAGTAAAAAGATGAGATGTGTTTGAAGCTTGAAAAGGAACTCTTTTATATCAATCATATTTAACCATAGATCTTGGTTGTTACCAACTGAGCAAGAGGGGTTTAACGACTATGCATCTTGGTTAGAAGTGCAAAGATGAGATTTATAATATTTAATCAGTATATCTTTATATCAATGCTAACTGTTGAGAAAATAAGGGCGAAGAAAAACAGTAATAACGACACAAATCCAGAAGAACACAGAGATTTAACGAGGTTCGACAAAGATGCCTACATCCTCGGGAGCAGAGCGGCGACCTCCTTTTCAATATTCAGAAAAGAATACAGAATACAAAATTCAACTCTCTCAAAGACCTAAGATTACAAACAAGTCTATTTATAATCCTAGAGTAAGCCCTGCAGTACAATATGTAATTCCCAAATTACCCCTGTACCGTATAGCCCCAACCCATATAACGTAACTTCCCAATTTGGACAGATTCTTTCGCTCCGCTCCGCTCCGCTCCAACGTTTGTCCCTATATGGTATATGAGCCATACCATAACAAATCTCCACTTTGGCGAATATCCAACCCCTTAGGAGAAAAGATACATGGGAGTTACACCTGCACCAATGTGGGTTAGGCCATCAAACTTCTGCTGCGCCCTCGCTGATCTCAACCCACTGAATTCTAAGAGACACATCTCTTCAATTCCAAGAGACATCTCTTCATTCCAAGAGACTCCAAATCCTGGTATTATGAGTCATACCTAATAATTCTCCACCTTGGCGAATATCCATCCCTTTAGGAGAAAATCTCCACCTTTCGAATATCCAGCCCCTTAGGAGAAATATCTCCACCTTGCGAACATTCTGCCCCTTAGGAGAAAATCTCC